AAATATTCTGAGTTGATTTCTTGTTTGCTGTTGGCTGAACAAAATAACGAGTTGTTGATGAAAAATCATGAATCTAGACCCACGGGGTCTACTGCGGTCCCTGAAATAAATGTTGTAATATCTAAACAGGGAACCGGAACTGAAAACAGCCAGACATATGTGCGTGGAAATACCTCGGGACGTGGCCGGGGTCGTGGCCGTGGATATGGCCCAGATCGCCGATTTGACCAAGTCTTCAAATTTCACAGAAGGTACAACTCGGGCCGAGGGAATAATCGTGGACGAGGCCGTGGCTATGCCAAAAATTTTGAAAGGGGGAGAAATTTTCAGCCAAAATTTGAACAAAATAATGTGACGGAAAATAATAATGAAAATGCATGTTATCGATGTGGAGAGACGGGACATTGGGCACGAAACTATCGTGCTCCGAAACACGTTGTTGATAAATATAATGATTCCCAGAAATCAAAAGATAAAAATGTGGAAACTAATTTTATAGTTGGGGAATCCTCTGAAAATAATACAACACGTGTAGATGATGACTATGGCATCGATGACATGTTGAACCTGGATTTTGCTGATACGGTATTTGAAGAAAGAGCTGGAAATGACCAAGAGAACAACTGATTATCCTGTTTCTTTTATTGCTTTCTAAGTTTTTGTTGTATTTGCGCATTTGTACTAGTTGTATCTGTATTTCAAATTTGATCAATAATAATGTTGTTTTCTTTTAGATCATGGATCGGTCTCGAATTCAAAATGGTGATATATGTCATGCAGATTGTGCCACAACTCATGCTATACTCAAGGACAGAAAATATTTTGTCAACTTGAATTAAATAAAGCACAAATAAACACAATATCTGGAAATGCAAAGATAATTGAGGGTTCTGGAAAAGCCATATTTTTTATGATGGGAGGTACAAAGTTTACATTGAATGATGCATTATTCTCCCCGAAATCAACAAGAAACTTGTTGTGTTTTAAAGATATCCGAATGAACGGATACCATGTTGAAACAATGAATGAAGGGGGAGTTGAATATCTTTGCATTACCTCAAATGTTGTGGGAAATAAATGTGTTTTGGAGAAATTGCCAGCTTTATCATCGGGCTTATATTACACCCGCATTTATATTATTGAGACTTATGCTGCAACAAAGTCACAGGCGAATGAAATGTTTAAACTTTGGCATGATAGACTTGGTCATCCTGGCTCGATAATGATGCGAAGAATTATTGAAAATTCTAGTGGACATCCGTTAAAAAATCAGAGGATATTGCAAACACGTGAATTGACGTGTACCTCATGTTCTCAAGGGAAATTGATAATAAGACCATCACATACTAAAATCGGACATGAATCACCGTTATTTTTGGAAAGAATTCATGGTGATATATGTGGACCTATTCATCCACCTTGTGGTCCATTCAGATATTTTATGGTGTTAATTGATGCTTCTAGTAGATAGTCTCACGTGAGTTTGTTATCCACTAGATATGTGGCATTTGCTAAATTGCTTGCCCAACTTATCAAATTAAGGGCTCAATTCCCAGATTATATTATCAAAAGGGTCAGACTGGACAATGCTGGAGAATTTACATCTCAAGCATTTAATGATTATTGTATGGCAGTGGGAATTGATGTTGAACATCCTGTAGCACATGTTCATACTCAAAATGGTCTAGCAGAATCATTGATTAAACGATTGCATCTTATTGCCAGGCCATTGATAATGAGGACAAAACTGCCCACTTCAGTATGGAGACATGCTATTCTACATGCAGATAATCTAATTCGCATAAGACCAAGTGCACACCATACATACTCGCCATTACAGTTGGCATCTGGTCGAGAACCAAATATTGCACATATAAGAATTTTTGGTTGTGCAGTGTATGTACCAATTGCTCCGCCCCAACGTACGAAAATGAGGCCTCAAAGAAGGTTGGGAATATATGTTGGATATGAATCTCCATCAATAATAAAATACCTTGAACCAAAAACAGGTGATGTTTTTACAACTCGGTTTGATGATTGTCATTTTAATGAAGAATTATTTCCCCCTTTAGGTGGGAATGAAAAGTCAATTGAGAAAAATATTGAATGGAGAACATCATCACTATCATATCTTGATCCTCCCACCAAACAAAGAGAGCAAGAAGTTCAAAAAATTATACATCTGCAGAATATTGCAAATCAATTGCCAGATGTATTTACTGACACAAAAAGGGTGACAAAATCACATGTTGCAGCTATAAATGCCCCTGCTCGAATTGAGATTCCAAAAGAAATGGTAAATGACGATATGCCAAATGAGTTAAAGGCACGCTTGAAACGAGGAAGGCCAGTGGTGTCTAAAGATAAGAATCCTCGAAAGAAAAGAGAAATTCAAGATTTGAATTTGAAAAAGAAACAAGATGATGGAAAAATTTCGGAACGAAATGAAAATATTGAAATCTCCATCAATTATGTAAATAATGGGAAACTTTGGAAGCGTGATGGGATCATTGATGATGCGTTCGCATATATGGTATCACAAGAAATTGACAAACAAGTTGAGTATCCTGAACCAAAATCTATGATTGAATGTCAGAAAAGACATGATTGGGACAAGTGGAAAGGTGCTATTCAAGCCGAGTTAAATTCGCTTAATAAACGAAAGGTGTTTGGACCTATTACCATTATACCTAAAGACATAAAACCTATTGGGTACAAATGGGTTTTTGTCAGAAAAAGAAATGAGAAAAATGAGATCACAAGATATAAAGCTCGCCTTGTAGCACAGGGATTTTCCCAGAGGCCTGGGATCGATTATGATGAAACATATTCCCCTGTTATGGATGCGATTACTTTCAGATACTTGATTAGTTTGGCCATCCATAAAAATCTTAAGATGCGTCTTATGGATGTTGTGACTGCTTACTTATATGGATCACTAGACGCTGACATTTATATGAAAATTCCAGAAGGAATTAGAATGCCCGAAGCACTAAAGTCCAAACCTAAAGAGTTATGTGCGATAAAGCTGCAAAGATCATTGTATGGCTTGAAACAATCCGGACGTATGTGGTACAATTGTTTGAGTGAACAATTGCTTAAACGGGGATACATAAATAATCAAATATGCCCGTGTGTTTTTATAAAAAGATCACAAGATGGAGTTGTGATAATTGCTGTCTATGTCGATGATCTTAATATTATTGGGACTACAAATGAAATTCAAGAAGCAGTCACTTTACTAAAAGGCGAATTTGAAATGAAAGATCTCGGACATACCAAATATTGTCTCGGCTTGCAAATAGAACGGGTCCAAAATGGGATATTTGTCCATCAATCTAATTACACTCAAAGAATACTGAAACGATTCAATATGGACAAGGCGAATCCACTTAGTACTCCAATGGTCAATCGAACATTAGATATTGAAAAGGATCCGTTTCGAACTTGTGAAGAAGATGAAGAAATACTTGGTCCTGAAATACCATATATGAGTGCCATAGGAGCTCTTATGTATCTTGCTAATTGTACCAGACCAGATATATATTTCGCTACCAATTTATTAGCAAGATATAACTCGACACCTACGAGGAGACATTGGAATGGAATTAAGCATATATTCCGTTATCTCCAAGGGACAATCGATTTGGGACTGTTTTATTCTAACGATAGAAAACATGAAATAATCGGTTTTGCAGATGCAGGATATCTCTCAGATCCCCATAAAGCAAGATCTCAAACTGGATACGTTTTTACGATTGGCGGAACTGCATTCTCTTGGCATTCTCAGAAACAAACGTTAGTTGCGACGTCTTCAAACCATGCTGAGATCATTGCACTTCATGAAGCAAGTAGGGAAAGTATCTGGCTCAGAAACATGACTCAACATATTCAACAAGCCAGTGGACTATCGAACAATAATGACCCGACGGTGATATACGAAGACAATGCAGCATGTGTCGCTCAAACAAAAGAAGGATACATTAAGAGTGACAGAACTAAACATATCCCGCCAAAGTTCTTCTCATATGCGCAAGAGCTCGAAAGAAACAAACAAATCAAAGTTCAATACATTCGATCAAGCGATAATGCAGCAGATTTATTTACGAAGGCACTCCCGACGACAATATTTCGAAAGCACGTACACAACATTGGAATGAGACATCTTCGGGATTTGTACAGATGATAACTCGAGGGGGAGTATGTGCGGTTGTACTCTTTTTTCCTTATCTCGGTTTTTTCCCACAGAGTTTTTCCAGATAAGGTTTTTAACGAGGCAGCATAAACGACATTTAATAGTGGTAATTCCAAGGGGGAGTATTGTAAATATGTGGAATTATCCACTAATCATAATCTTATCTTTACATTATTATATTTAGTTTGTATTGAATTGCGTGCCAAAATTTGGCTATAAAAGGCAATGGTGTCTTACTATTGATGTACGAAAAAGAAGGAAGAAAGAAAGAAAAGGTAGTCTGTTACAATTTATATCCAGTTTCTATACATTGTGTTCTTTATATTGCTCGCATTTTATAACACAAACTATATTTTAGTTGAACAAATTTTATTAAGCAAGATTTGTCCAACGGATTCTTCCAAATAATGCGGGATGAATAATTCAAAATGAGACTATACTCCATATATATATATATATATATGTATATAAATTCTTGCATTAATAAATAAAATAATAAAATTTTGTGATTTTACAGTTTCATCAACAGCGCAGTCCAATTTTTAATAATAACTTATAAGCACCTAAACAAGGTACTTTTCGCAATTTAAAAGACATTATGGTCGATTCTGAAATTATCGAAATTGTTGGGGTCTTTCCCATTATTTCTCAAACATTTAATAAGTATATTTATTTATTACTCATCACACCTCAGTCTCAGATACGATAACGTCTGATTTCAATCCTTTTCAGAATCTTCCCAAAAAGTTATTTCACCTCGACAGGACTCTCAAAACACACACTCAGACTCTCAAAACACACACTCATGGAGAAGCAAAATTTCGGCCTCATCACCAAGGTCAAATTGCTCTGCAGCTACGGCGGCAGAATCCAATTCCGCCCGACCGACCGCCAGCTCTCGTACGCCGGTGGGGACACCAAGATCCTGGCCTTCGATCGCGGCATAAAATTCTCCGAGATGGCCGCCAAATTGAGTTCCCTCTGCGAGAAATTAGAGGTCTCGATCAAGTACCAGCTGCCCGGAGAGGATCTGGACGCCCTGGTCTCGCTCATCGACGACGAGGACGTAGAGCACATGATGGTTGAGTACGAACGCCTGCAGAGGATCTCGCCCAAGCCCGTCAGGCTTCGGTTGTTCCTTTTCGATCCGTCGAAATCAGGGGCGGGCAAGGACTCGGTACCGGTCACGCCTTCGAACCCAGACTATCTGTTTGGGTTCGATAAGGAGTATGAACCCAGCGTCGAGCCGCCTCTGGATCTCCTTCAGATTCCGGGGATGGTTCTGCCCGATAGTAACGGGTTGGTTCGGGCCGAGGGCAAAATTGGAAATATGGTGAGCCAGGTATCCGGCGGGGCTAACAATGAGAGCGTGGGCGGGGCGACGGCGGCTCCTTGGGCGGTTTACCGGGTGCCGGCAGTGGTTAACGGAGGAATTTGCCATGCCGCGCCTTATGCGTACGGGATTGTGCCGGAGATGCGTAATAGCAACCGGGAACAGCCGGTGTACAATTTCATTCCGATTATGGCCACGGCGGTGCCGGAGCAGATGATGATGATCTCGAGGGGGAATACTAATCTGATTAATCAGCGTGATTTTTGACAAAATGTTATTGCGTGTGTGTTTTCTCGTGGATTTATTCGAAAGATGCTAAAGTATATAGGAATTATGGAGTCGGTAAATACTGGTTTTGATCTTGCCTTTGTTTTTTCTTGTTCATTATCGTTTAGGACATTTATTGAGAACTTTGGTGATGAATTGTTTGTTAATATATCTTTTGAGCATTGTTCTTCTTCCAACTTATTATACAAGAGATGCTACGGTCTCGTTACGAAATTTCGTCGGGATTTGTAATCGCTAGATCACCATGTAATCGTCGGGATAGTTGATCTAACTATTACAAACTCCGAATGAATGATTCTGTAATGGGCCAGTAGCATTTGTAGCATTTCTCTTCTTATACTGCATATATAAAATCAAAAGAATAAAATTTTTAACAAATCATTTTTCACTCAAATATAACTCAATTTTAAGTCAATCTCACTATCTTCGATATAATTAAATAATATAAATTAATTATTATTAAATATTACATCAACTTTGATATAGGATATTATCTGTATAAAGACGAGCCGATTTGGTGAGCCGGTCGAGAAG